CAGGGCAGGACTTGTATACTTAATGGTAAGTTCCTGGGGAGTGTTGCTGAGCAAAGAGACCTTGGAGTGCAGGTTCACACTTTGTTGAAAGTGGAGTCGCAGGTAGATGGGATAGTGAAGAAGGTGTTTGGTATGCTTGCCTTTATTGGTCAGTGCATTGAGTATAGGAGTTGGGAGATCATGTTGCAGCTGTGCAGGACGTTGGTTGGGCCACTTTTGGAGTATTGCTTGTAGTTCTGGTCTCCCTGCTACAGGAAGGATGTTGTGAAACTTGAAAAAGTTCAGAAAAGATTTACAAGGAAGTTGCCATAGTTGAACGGTTTGAGCTAGGCTGGGGCTATTTTCCCTGGACCATCGGAAGCTGAGGGGTGACCTGATAGAAGTTTATAAAATCATGAGGGGCATGGATAGGGTAAATAGTCATGGTCTTTTCTCTGGGGTGGGAGAGTCCAAAACTAGAGGGCATGGGTTTAAGGTGAGAGGGGAAAGATATAAAAGGGACCTAAGAGGCAAGTATTTTGCACAGAGGATGGTGCATTTATGGAATGAGCTGCCAGATGAAAGTGATGGAGGCTGGTACAACATTTAAGAGGCATCTGGATGGGTATATATATGTATAGGAAGGGTTTAGAGGGATATGGGCCACAGGCTGGTGAATGGGACTAGATTCATATAGGATGTCTGGTCAGCATGGACGAGTTGCACCAAAGAGTTTGTCTCAGTGCTGTATATCTCTATAACATTGCATGGATTTTTTACGATATTTGATGGTAGAATGACCAATGGTTTTTCTCTGCCTGTTGCTGGAATGTATCTGAGGTTTAGAGAAGGCAGGATGTGGGCCTCTCTTGCAGTGTGTGATGGGGGAGTGTCTGATCAGCAGTGAACCTTCTACACTGGCCAGTGGCGGAGGACTGTTCATGGGTCATTTTGAACCTCTCCCACTATTTTGGTCATTGTTGCTAGGTTACCAGTTGCTGGCTTTCATGACTGTTTGACTCTTGGCAGAAGCAGGTAATTAAATAATGGAAACAGCTGCCTTGTGCAAAAGCACCAGCAGTGATTTCTGCCGACTGGGTACCTTCGGTGTTGGACTGCAGCCCAAGGGAAACTGAGTCAGCATGTTAGGCTGAGAGTCACTCTCTGTACAAGCTGCCTGCTTTTGTATTGCAAATCCAGCATTCAAAACTATAATTATACTGAGCCCCTGAAAGACACGTGAGCCGGCCCCATTGGGATTGCGTCAGAGTAGGAAAGAGTTGCTGGAGATGGTTTTTCTACCTCCCTGGCTTTTGAAGGGGACAGAATAGAGAGAGCCTTACTTTGTATCTAACCCCAATGTGTCACTGATGTGGCAATGTTTGATGGGGACAGTGTCAGGGAAGCTTTACTTTGTATCCAACCCCGTGCTGTCCCTGCCCTTGGATTGTTTAATTGGCATGTTGTAGCAGGGGTTTTGGGTTCAGTTTAGAGAATAGAGGGCACTTATCTCTGTATCTAACCCTGTGCCCTCCCTGACCTGGGAGGGACAGTGTCTCGAGGGAGCTTTGCTATCAGTTTAGAAGTGTAATTGGAGATTTATTCTGTATCAAACCCCATGTTGTACCTGCCCTTGGAGTGTTTGGGAACAATGCATCTAAAAGCAGAAAAATATTTAATGTGCATCATTGGCAACTTTCCCTTCGGATGAGTTCAAATATTTATCTAGCTGAGAAATATGGTTTTAATGACTGGGTTTGAAAGCTGCCATTCAGTCCTGGCTACATTAGAGAGAGCCTGGCGTGAGAAGACTTGTGGGTCAGAGGAGGCAATGTTTATAAGACTCTTACTCTTCCAGTGAAAATGACATTGTGTTGGATCTAACTTAAGGCCTCTGAGTAAGTGGAGCTGTCTTTTTCTGTGGGATTTCAATTCTAGCCAGGGAGAGATGTTTAATTTATCGGCTGTTCTGGGGAATGAGAGTGTAAAGTAAGTTTGAGTTGCGTGGGGGAGGACCAAGACTCTACAACAACAGCTTGCATTTACGTAGCTACTTTTGCAATCGTGAGACATCACCAAGTGCTTTACAGCTAACGGAGTGCTTTTAGAGGCATGGTTATTTTTGTAACATAAAACGTGGCAGTCAGTGAATGCACAGCAAACTCCCACAAACAGCAGTGTGACCATGACCAGAGAATCTGTTTATCTGAGGGATGGATATTGGCCAAGACACCAGGGAGAGCTCTCATGTTCTTCCAGTAGTAACGTGGGATCTTCTATGTTTACTGGGTTATTTTCTTTAGCATAGAGAAAGCTGAGAGGTGACCTGATGGAGGTGTATCAGATTGAGAGGCTTGGACTGGGTGCATATGAAGCAGCGTTCCCCTTAGTTGAGGGGACATAATTTTTAAAGGAAAAAGCAGGAGGTTTAGATGGGACTTGAGGAAAAATGTTTCACCGAGAGGGTGATGTGAATCTAGAATGCACTGCATTGGAGGACAGAAACCTCAACCTATTAAAAAGTACTTGAAATGTACCTCAACCTTTTAAAAAGTGCTGCAGAACCTGTCCTCTGTTCTATGACTCTGTGGCCAAAGAGAGCAGACTGGGCCTCTAGTTAATCAGATAGTACTGTGAATTGTACAGTGAGGTATCTGGGCATGCCCTGAGCTGAGAGGGAGGGAGCAGAATCGGTCCGGGCCCCTTCACATGGACGTGTGACGGTGTTGAGTTACAGGCTCCAATAACCACCATCTCTCAAAATTAGGGTTTGTTCCGTCTGAAACAGTTTTAATAAGTTATGGCAAGCTGCTAAATGGGGTGTGGTTGTGGGGGGGGGGGCATCATCTCAGTGCCCAGCCTATTTGTGCGCACTCTCCAGCAAAGTGGGCAAGATTAGTTCAAGCCTGAGTCTCTATGTGAAGAGCGAAGAGAGGGTATTGGTCTTTAAAGTGAAGCCTGTTGCAGTCGAACAGGCAATCAGTCCTTACTACTTGGTCTTGTATTTAAACATCAGGAGAGGTTTGGGGAAAGGCTGCCAGGCCACAGTTACCCACCCAACCACAGCAGGGCTCTGGCACCCAGGGAAGAAGGATTGGGGGGAAGAGAGAGGGGGTGTGTAAAATGTCCCATTTTCCTGGTGGGTTGTTGAAGGGCGGGGGGAGAGGAAGCAGTGAATCAAAGCCAAGCTCTGCTGAGGTCAGTGAGGGGGAAGTAAACTCTGAATGGAATTGTGGAGAGGCAGCAGTGCTGAATAATTATCGTTTCAAAATAAAGCTTCCTCGGCTTTCTAATGAAAGCCAGACGAAGTGACGTCCGAGAGAGAGAGATGTATCTGTCCCAGTCCCAGTTTGCAAAGAGGTTGCCAAATCCTGCTTATTGTTTTGCTCGTAGCACAGGCTTCCCACTCTCTCTGCATGTTGTCTTCAAACATTTACTCACCATGTTGTTCAACTATTACAGTCTTCTTAACTTCCAGCGTGTTCATAACACACACCAATCAACTTTGTATCCCTTGCCCTGGATTTGCAGATTGCAAATAGTCAGGACTCATAGCACAGAAGGTGACCGTTCAGTCCATATTCCAGTGATGGCTCTTTGGAGCCCCAAATATTCTCAGTTTTCCCCTCAGACCCCCTCGCACTTTCCCCTTGCCTTTCCAAGTTTCTTTCTTTCCAGTTGTTATTCAATTTGCTCTTGAAAGTTATTACTGAATGCACTTAGTGTCCTTTCAGATCGTCAATCAGCTTTTAAAAGAAGAATGTTTACTCATGTTGTCCCCTCTCAAACCCACCATAACATTTTATTTAGCCTCAGGCTTCCAGCTCCCCTTCCTGTCCTCACTGAGGCTGCCTCCTTCCATCTTCATAATAAAAGAAAAATACTGTTTTTAAAAAATGGGGCTCATCTGCCACTGAATCCCTCAGTGTGCCTTTGACCTCCAGGCCTGACTAATCCAGTGCCCTCTTTGCCAGTGTTCCACTTTACAGTGTCTGTCAATTTCAAAACTTACAGCCTCCTACTGCCCTAACTTACAAAATCTTGTTCTTCACCACTACCATCCTGTGCTGGCTGACTTTCATTGACCTCCCCTAAAACAGCATTTTGATTTTAGAATTCTCCTTCCTCACTTACAAATTTCTTTACTGATTCATGGGATAAGGGCATCGCTGGCTAGGCAGCATTTATTGCCCATCCCTAATTGCCCAGAGGGCAGTTAAGAGTCAACCACATTGCTGTGGGTCTGGAGTCACATGTAGGCCAGACCAGGTAAGGATCGCAGTTGCCTTCCCTAAAGAACATTAGTGAATCAGATGGGTTTTTCCGACAATCAACAATGGAGTCACAGTCATCATTCAATTCTTAATTCCAGATATGGTGGGATTCGAACCTGGATGCCCAGAGCATTACCTGGGTCTCTGGATTAACAGTCTAGTGATAATACTATTAGGCCTCCCTATTCACAAATCCCTTTATGGCCTTGCCCTTCAATGTCTCTCATGTCCTGAAGGAAAATCAATCTCCCAAGATTCTGTTTCTCCCTTCAATTCTGGACTCTTGAACACTACCCAACTTTGATCCCTCTGCGGCCTGAGTCCCAAACGCTGGAATTCCCTTTCTAACCGTCTGAGTCTCTACCCCTCGCCCCTTCCCCCCTTAAGATGCTTCTTAAAACCTACCTCATTCTCTGAGCTTTCAGTCCCCTATCCAGATGTCTCCTGTGGCGCAGGGTCAAACTTTTTTTTGTTGATGCTCCTGTGAAACACCTTTGCACATTTCTTGCCCTGTTAAAGGTGCTATATATTATGAAAGTTGTCACTGTGGGTAATGCCTGTGACAGCGGCCAGCTGAGAGCTGGATGCTTTGGGAATGTGAACAGAGAGGGTTGGAGCCGGTTACTTGTTGGGGCACGTCTGTGTTTTACAACCAAGTTATCAGGAAGCTACGCCTCCCTGCAGCTAGAGCCCTGCTCCTGTCTCCCTTTTTGTGTTTCGGCCGATGTGTCTCTTTGCTACACTGTAGTCTGTGCCCTCCTGTGGTGCATATCTTTTGCCCAAGTATTGCCTCCTCTCTGAACCCGAGCTGGGATGTTCAGAAAGCTCTCTCCAGTGTGGTAGACATGACAGGTAAGGCTCAATCTGGACAAGCCCCATCTTGATACAGGGGTAGGTGAATGATCAGGAGCCAGAAACTTCTCACAATTATCTCTCCTTGCTCTCTTTTCCCATCCTCTTTATTTCTCTCTCTCTTAATTGTTCCCTTTTTCTCTTGCCTCTGCCTCTGCCTCTCTCCTATTTTCTTTACCTCTTTGATCTTCCATTTTTCTCTTTTTATTAATCTCTTTTTTTCTCCTTTTTATTTACTTATCCACATCTCTCTCTATCTCTCTCTCCCTCCCTCCATCTCCTTTCCTCTCTCCCTTTCTTTAATTTTCTCCTATTTGTCTTTTCCCTCGTTATCCCTTTCTTTCTCACTTGCACTCTCGCCCAAGCCAATGAAACGTTGGTTCTTTGTGATTGGTGAGCAGAATGGCGCCTTGGGTATATGCCAGTTTGCCCACCGTAAGCTCCCACAAACGGCAATTTGGTAAGAACCGAAAGAACTGCAGACGCTATAAATCAGAAGCAAAAGCAGAAGTTCCTGGAAAAGCTGAGCAGGCCTGGCAGCATCTGTGGAGAGAAAGTCAAAGTTTTGGGTCTGGTGACCCTTCCTCAGAACTGTTCTGAGGAAGGATCCGAAATGTTAACTCTAATTGATTACTCTTCGCAGATGGTCCTGGACTTGCTGAGCTCTTCTAGCAATTTCTGCTTTCGTTAGCAGTCTGATAAGGACTGGATGACCTGTGTTTTAAATTGTTTGTTTGTGAATAGATTTTGGCTGAATGCAGCAAGGAGATCTCTTCCCCCTGTTCTTCGCTAAAACAGTGACCACGGGGCCGTGGTTAATTGTGCCGTGCGAAAAATAACAGGGCTGCTGTCCCTCGGTACTGAATTAGAACATCAGTCTAGATTTTGTGTTCCACTTTCTGTGAAGTGGGACCAGGAGCAGTGACCTATTTGCTCTGAGGTGAGAGTGCTTGAATCAGGAGGCTGACGTTAGAAGTGAGTGAGATCTGTGCCCAATCCTCGCCCCTGAGAGGTTCGTGGCACATTGTTTCTGCTTTGTGTGGTTAGTGAGTGGAAAACTGGCTGAAAGTCTCTCTCTCTGTCCAGTGCTTGAGAGTATGGATGTACAGGTGTGAGTACACATAGGTCTCTGGCACAGCATCCAGCCTCGGTGTGTTGGTCCCAGTGGGAGTAATTTACAGGCCGCAGCACAAGGATACAGGGTAGGCCGTTTTAGATGAGAAATTTCTTCACCCAGAGAGTCGTGAGCTTGTCGAATACTCTGCTTCAGAAAGTGCTTGAGGCGCAAACATCGTTTTCAAGCAGGAATTAGATGTAGCTTTTAGTGCTGAGGGAATCAAAACGTATGCAGAGAAAGCAGGAACAAGGCACTGAGTTGGACGATCAGCCTTGACCGTATTGAATTTTAGAACAGGCTTGTGGGGCTGAATGGCCTACATTGCTATTTTCTATCTTTCTGTGTTTAGTTGCTGACACGCACACAGCGCAATGCCCAGGAAGGAGGACAGCAATGGTCCTGTGCCTTGGCATGGAGTCAACACTTTCGAAGACCACAGGGAAAGAGGGAGACCTGTTTTTTTTTTTGTTATAGCTGTAGCTAAAAGAACAGAGACCTATAATAGGAACACGGTTGTGATAACTCAGCCCAGATGAGGTTAGGCAGCCGGTGAACTGTTTGCTGTTCACCCCGCCCTCGCCCTGGGTGGCTGGTTGACAGTTCAGTGATGAGCTCCTCCCTCCAGGCTAACAGTGAGATTTCAACATCAATTTACTGCCAGTGACTCCAAACTCGACACAGCTGTTTGCTGTCCTGGCCTGCTGAATCCCCCTGGACCACGGTGAGTAAGCACCAAAGTATTTGGGCATTCCCTTTGTTTCTCAAGCTCAACCATAAAGTCAGCAGAGGAGCGAGGCTGTATCAGCGCTGGGCAGTTTACATGGGACATCATGCGGCCGTATAAGGCATTGGTGGGGCCACTTTTGGAATACTATGTACAATTCTGGTCATCCTTCTGTAGGAAGGATGTTACTAAACTGGAAAGGATGCAGAAAAGATCTAGAAGGACGTTGCGTGGACTTGAGGGTTTGAGTTAGGAGGAGAGGCTGGATAGACTGGGACTTCTTTTCCTGGAACATCAGAGGTTGCAGGGTGACCAAATAGAGGTTTATAAAATACTGAGAGGGCTAGATAAGGTGAATAGCAAAGGTCTTTTCCCTAGGGTGGAGGGAGTCCAAAGTTAGAGGGTATAGTTTTAAGTTGAAAGGGACCCGAGGGGCAACTTTTTCACACACAGGGTGGTGCATATATGGAATGAACTGCCAGAGGAAGTGGTGGATACCGGTACAGTTACAGCATTTAAAAGACATCTGGATAGGTTCATAAATAGGAAGGGTTTAGAGGGATATGGGACCATCCCTCTAAATTGACAAAAGCAGGCAAATCAGACTACTTCAGTTTCGGAAACTTGGTCGGCATGGATGAGTTAAACTGGGAGATCTACTTCCGTGCTGTATGACTGTCTGTGAGCGCTCATAGACAAACAGAGGCAGTCTGTCTGTCTGTCAGCTATCTGAGGGACGCAGCTCCCAGATGGGCCCAGGGAGTTTGTGCACTCCCTGTAGAAATCTGCTGAGCTGCTGCAACAACCACTACCCCGCTTTTAGATAGCACCTTTAATGTTGCACCACGTCCTTCACAACAACGTAAATCCGACAAAAAATTTAACACCAAGCTGATGAGTGATTTGCTGAACTAAGGAGGAGAAAGTTTAAGATGGAATTTCAGAGCTCGGGGCATGGCCAGCACTGTCAATGGTGGAGCTACTGAAATTGGAATTGCACAAGAGGCCAGAATTCCTGGAGTGGAGCAGAAAGGTGCCAGCTTTGAGACTTGATTTACGTTATTTGCTCTGCGGATGTAGCAACTTGTCAGCCTCCTGGGCTTTGGTTTGGTAATGGGGTTCTTCCATTCCTTAATGGGATGTGGGTGTCACTGACTGGGCCAGCATTTATTGCCCATTCCTAGTGGCCGTCAAGATGGTGGTGAGCTGCCTTCCTGAACTACTGCTGTCCCATGTGCTGTCGTGACATCTATAATGACATTAGGGAGAGAATTCCAGGATTTTGACCCAATGACACTAAAAGGAATGGTGACATTATCTCCAAGTCAGGATGGTGAGTGTCTTGGAGGGGAATTTGGAGGTGGTGGTGTTCCCGTGTATCTGCTGCCCTTGTCCTTCCAGATGGAAGTGGTTGTGGGTTTAGAAGGTGCTGTTTGAGGAATCTTGGTGCTGCAGTGCAAGGGAAGAGTCTTACTATTTGAGTCTCATTGGCACTTGTGGTCAAGGAGAAGTTAAATGCTTTTCTTCCGAGAGTTGGAAAGAACAAGCACCATTTAAGTATTGCTTTTGCTGTGAAACTTAGCCATCTTGATATTAAATGCGATGCTTGCTGTGTGACACTCAAGGTAATGATTGGCATCCCATCGGCCACCATCATCTTCATTCACATCCTCCCTCACTGATGCAGCTACTATCTACAAGATGCACTGCAGCAACTCGCTAAGGTTCCTTTAGCAGCACCTTCCAAATCCGAGACCACTGCCACTACAAATGGAATTGCAGTGGTTCAAAAAAGCAGCTCACCACCACTGTCTCCAGTGTAACTAGGGATGGGCAATAAATACTGGTCGGTGATGCCCTCGTCCTGTGAATTTTTTTTTTTAATTAAAAAGTCACAAGATTGTTGGTTTGAATTCTGTCCCAAGAGCTGGGTTTGTAAATACATCCGGGTCCAGTACAGAGGGAGTGCTGCGTTGTCAAAGGGATTAGATGGATGTTGAAGATTCCCCGAGCACTATGTAGTTGGGAAGTGGTTCTCTGTGTTGGAGTTTGAGTTTGATTTATTGTTGTCACATATACTGAGATACAGTGAAAAGTGTTGTTTTGCATACTATACAGTCAGATTGTATGGTACAATGTGCATCAGTTAGCAGAATAGTGCAGAATACAGTGTTACAGCCACAGAGAAGGTGCAGAGAGAGAGATTAACGTTTAAGAGGTCCATTCAAAAATCCGATAAGTGGGGAAGAAGCTGTTCTTGAATCTTTGTACATGTATGAAGTTTTCATATCTTCTGCTCGACGGAAGAGTGTGGAAGAGAATATGTCCGGGGTGAGAGGGGTCTTTGATTATGCTGGCTGCTTTCCTGAGGCAGGGGGAAGTACAGATGGAGTCAACGGATGGAAGGCTGGTTTGTGTGATAGACTGTCAGTTGTAATGCACTCCCTTCTGAGTCAAAGGTTGTAGGCTCAGGCACTACTCCAGCAATTTACTTCTGTCAACATCTCGGACAAAACCAATGATCCACTCATTTTACAGTGCTGTTTACATCATCATGTTAGCTGCCAGAACGTTATAACAGGTGCAACACTTAAAAATTCAAGAAGTTGAAAAATACAAGAGGAATTAAACATCAAAGGATGTTATGCTTCAGTTCTGCAGGGAATTGGTGAGATCATATCTCCAATGCTCTGATAAACAAAATAAAGAAATGTGGATGCTGGAAACTTGAAACAAAAACAGAAATTGCTGGAGGAAACACAGCAGATTTGGCAGCATTGTCAGTCCTGAAGAAGAGTCACTGAACTCAGTGTTGACTCTTTTTTTTACCTCCACAGATGCTGCTAGACCTGCTGCGTTTGTCCAGCAATTTCTGTTTTAGCCTCCTGTATTGGTGCAGTTTTGACCTGATTTAAGGAGGAATGTAAGGAGATAGTTCAGAGGAGGTTTACTCGATTTCATATTTTGGAATAAGTGTGTTGTCTTATGAGGAAGGATTAGGCGGGCTGAGCTGGTTTCCCCTAGAATTGAGAAGCGTGACTTTTGTTATTTGTATGGAAGTGTTTAAGATCCTGAATGTTTTTGGCAAGGTGGGTGTTTCTCCTTGCAGGTCAGTGCAGAACGAGGAACGTGCGGTTTTAGAATGAGTAGTCACCCTTT